GTCGTCGTAGTAGTAGCAGTAGCGAAAGCAGCAGCCGCAGTAGGAGTAGCAGGAGTAGCAGTAGCAGTCGGCGTCGTCGTGGTAGTAGTAGTAGTAGTAGTAGTAGTAGTAGTAGTAGTAACAGTAGTAGTAACAGTAGTAGTAGCAGTAGTAGTAGTAGTAGTAGTAGTAGTGGTGGTGCTGGTGGTGATCGAAGTAGTAACCAGCAGCAGCAGCAGTCACCGTAGCAGTTGCAGCAGCACCACCACCAGCAGCAGTGGTGGCAGTCGCCGCCGTCGCCGTCGTCATCGTGGTTCTCGTCAAGGCAGTAGCTGTAGCAGTGTAAAACGCAGTCGCAGTCGTGGTGGTAGTAGTAGCAGCAGCAGCAGCAGAAGCAATACGCGTAAGAACAAATTCTTCGAATGCTGATATGGAAGGGCAGTACTATGTTGCAGCGATGTGTTACGGTCTTTTTCCATCACTGTGTCCAAGCTAAATACCAAGATTGCTTCGCGTTCAAAAAGGCCATGTCAGCTAAGCTTCTCACAGATTCGGGATATGTGTGCGCCGTTCTGGAAGGATCCAAAACGATATCCCCATATCTAAACCCGAAGCGATAGCCCCCTTGAGACTTCGCCTCCACAGGGAAGGGCAGGCTCTGCAAAGCCCCACCAGCTCGGATCATCCCAGCCTGCCGCCAGTTCAACACAGGGGCAGTGTTAAGAATCCGGTTTGACTTGATCATCGGTCGGACTGTTGGTTTGCAGTAGGTTGCAGTAGGGGGCATGTCTGAGCAAAAGAGGGCTTGGGGTATGGGACACGATGCCTTCGCGGTGCAAAGGATAAAAAGCAACGCTTCTTGCTTAAATACAGCTCTCCCTCGAAGGCGTGTTTCGGCTTCGACATCAGCTGGAAGACTTTGTGCCAGTCGGTTGCTGTCTGAGTCTGTCTTATGGGGATCCGGGGCATATTTGCCTGGAAGAACGCTTTGAAGAGAGTGGATTCCAGAGTGTTCACGCAAAAGGTTCGGCAGGAACTTCACAGGGCTTCACCAGCTGCGCCCTTGAACAGCGCCAGACCAGATGGTGATACGGTTCGAAAAGCTTTTCCAAGTGTGGTCGGGTGTGTGTCGGATTCCTTGAGAATTTAGGATCCGATGTCCAAAGCGACATGCTTTCGCGACGATCATGCATTAAAGTCTCAGTACAGGAATTGTTGCTTCTTTGAGTTTGTAGGCCATTGTAGGCTTGGTAGCGTCAGCAATTCAGCTCAGGGTGTGGCATTTTAGATTTTGTGATTCCCTTGTCTAATTTGAGCCCCACATAAATCTATTTTGGATACTCAAATGGGTGTCGGTTAGGCACAGAGAACCAGTGACTCCTTTGTGGCTTAGGTGGCTCATACCTGCAAGACTGGACTCTAAAACCTTCAGCGCACTTGCCTGAAGCGTACACGTCAAACACTGAAAGACATGCCTTAAATACAGCAGAGCTACGAAGTTCAGTCTAGGTCACAGTTGCTTTCGCGGCTTGAACGTAATGCACAGGCCTTTCGCGGAAACGGATGCAGTTCACCATAGGGCTCTTGGCAGGATAGCATTAGAAATTATATGCCCCTGTCTCTCTCCGGAAGCCATCCGCCTATCCACCAACTGTCGTCCCACCAGCTGCCATCATCCCAGCCCCAATCGCTCCAACCAGGCCAGAAATCATCCGGGGCTTGTGAAGCCTCCGGGTTTCAGCTTCTGGTCTCTTGAGGAGCTCGAGGTGCTAAGTCTTACCAAGTCTTACACATGTTGTGAGCGGTGCGATGCATGCACTACTATGTCTAGCATGGCTATAGGCTATATCTACCTAGCCGTGAGACGGTTCGTCGGTCAAGCGGTTTTCAAACTGTCGGCATGGTGCAGACCGTCATGGAAGTCATCGTCCTCATCATCAAAAGCATCATTGAACCCTCCTCGTCCTCCTCCTCATCAGCCTCATCGTCAAGGTTTGGCCAGCATGGCTGCGGTGCGGGGTTGGTTTATCCTCAACCAAGTCCCCCTCGATCCTGAACCGAAAGGCATGTACAGGCCAGCTCCTACACAGATTGCAACTGCCAAGATCGTGAACCGCTTAAGGCCGTCGTGAGATTAAGCACCCGAGGTTCAACAGGTAATGAAATCAGACCTGGATCATAAATCCGAGCCCTACGCCCGATGTCTAAGCTTCTACGATTCATTCTACAATGAGACCTGGATAGACCTGGTCTTTGATAGTCTCGAACCGCATTTCCCCAAGCCACTTCCGGGGTCTCTGTGAGCGGTTTCGGGTCTAGGGTAGCTCTCAACATCTGGAACACTTGAAGCTCGCTCGCAGTCGTCTCAATGCTTTCGTTCAACTTTAAGTGGGCTGTAGTCTTTAAAGGCCCCACGCTCATGAACTCCAAATCACTACGTTGGATGTAATCTGGGGAGCCGTGATCCTACCCTACCCGAAGCCCCGAAGGGGAAAAACCATGGAATCTGAAAAATCCAAACTCTCACGCTGGCTGCCAGCAAGGCACTCTATGCCCTGGGCCCCAGAACTGCGAAAACCCTGAAGTCTGGGACAGTCTCAAAATGTCTCGAACCACTGCAAGTCCTCCTGACACCAACCCGACTCCTGCCCGGTTTGGGTTTTAGGGTTCGGCTTGTCAAAGGATCTTTGTGGGTTTCGTGTGTACCATTTAAAGTCCAGAGTCACCGGAGACACCGGAGTCTTGGGGCTTGCGGGAAGGTTTACAGTTAGGGCTGTTGGACGCTACTTTCCCTCCATCCCTGTCCCACCATCGCCGCGGCGGGGTCTTTGAAGACACTCTTCACAGGTGCTTCTTTGCCCTTGCCCTTGCCCTTGACAGCAACAACGTCAACCCAATCCTCAGAAAACGGGTGTGGCGGGGGATGCCAGGCTTGAGCAATTAGAGGGGTTTGAGCCTCGAGCAATCATCGGGTTTAGGGTTGGAAGTTTGCATTGAGAAGTTTGCATTGAGGTTTGCAGCCATGTAAGGAATTTGAGCATAAGGTCTGGAAAATTAGGGCTTGTAGTGTAAACTACTCTCGGATGCTGTGCTGGCTGGGTTTTTCTTCCGGAAGACGGCCACCATCATGAGCACACGTCCGACATGGCCATGGAACGGCCCTGTGGCCTGTAGGCCGTATAGACCACAATGGGAGACAACAAACAACTCTGCAATCAGACCCGCAATCAAAATCTTCATAGGCAGAGGCCGCAGAGGAGCTATAAGTAGAGATGTGCATTCAGCGATCTAGGGGATTGAGGCTTGAGCCGTAGGGTTTCGAGATCCGGCTTTAGCTCCGATCGTCCCATCCTCTACCCGGAAACCGCAACATCTTTGCAGGTTTAGGGCATTCTTAGATTGCGGAGAAGAACTTTCCCGTATCAGTTGAGCAGCCGTGCGATTTCTGCAGTCTTTGCAGATGCACCTCGGTGTGGTATTGCCAAGCCCTGAGCTTGAGACCCAACACCAGATCGTTCGTCCCTAAATAAAGAGGAAACAACTCCATGACCCGGCATGTCTGACAGGTTCGGACAGGACAAGGGAGCCTTGTTTCACTGGAGGCACTGTGGATCGTAAGGCAACCTGCGCTCAATCCAAGGATACCCGCGAGCCACCCAACCTGAAAACATAAGACCCTCAAGCGACAAAGCCTAGTAGTTTTGATATGACTGATGTCCCTGAGTATGCCTGGTTGTAAAACGCACCCTAGACCACGCTGCCAGGCAAGCTCCGCTAGCTCACAAGCTCCCAAACTCCGTAAGACCAAGCTGTATCAGCCCTTTGCCAGAAAGTCGGAAACAACACAGACATAAGCCCCACCTTCCGAAAGTGGAAAGACCGCCTCAGCAGAAGCATTCTCATTGCCCGGCCGCCCCGGCAAGTGGTTCTTCGAGTTCAGGCATCCGCCACCGCCTCCACCAGAGGTGGGAGCAGTGCTGGCAGAGCCAGGAGTGCTGGCAGTGACAGGAGCAGTACCGGCAAGGCCCGTGGGTCCGCATCCGGCTGGGGCACCTGACTTCGGCGTGGGGAGAGGGCGTTTTGCAATAGAACTTCGCCTTTCGCAAAGCTTGGCCGCGGTAATGGCACTGTTTTCGTGGGGCCTGCCCGAGAATAACTGTAGCATGGGCCACGTGTAATCAAGAACCAATGGAAACTGGTGAAGAGCTTCCACTTAGGACGTGATGTCATCGTGTAACAACATTGCTGCTGCCATTAGCTCATGTCTTGGGTGTTGGTCACATACTCCCCCAAATGTTTAACCCGCATTTTGACCGCAAGCTGCTGGTTTACTTAGGGAGTCGACCAGATTCCGAAGCACCGCTATATGACTATGACTAGATGCATGGCTAACACGATCTTACAAACCCTTTTAGCCGCATGCGTCTCTTGTTGTCAAAGCTTGAGTAGGTATAACGGCGGTAGGTCTGTAGGTCAGTCGGTAGGTAGGTAGGTAGGTAGGTAGGTAGGTAGGTAGGTAGGTAGGTAGGTAGGCAGGTAGGTAGGTAGGCAGGCAGGTAGGTAGGTGGCAGGCAGGCAGGCAGGCAGGGAGGTAGGGAGGTA